ATAATAATAACTGTTCATCGCAATCGTCCGCATCCATATCGCGATGTTCTTCACGTAGCAGCTCAATAGCAAGTTCGTCGGCCACCTATAGCAGCTCTATACCGTCGCTGGTTAGCTGCAGTAGTCGATCAACTGCTGGTGCCACTGCTGCTGCAGCTGCAGCTTCACAACCATCATCAAAGATGCTCAAAATAAGACTGTTCAACAACAACAGTAGCACTAAAGAAAAAAAGGTGAGGAGATTCGCGAAAATATTGGGTCATTGCCAAGCTCTACAGTAATTTGAAATGAAGCGAAGTTTTCGTTTCAGGACCGGTCGAGAGCCTTAAACGCGGCAGGAGCAGCAATACCACCTCCGGACGGGAAGAGTGGTACGAGTAGCAGTAGTGGTGCAACGACGACCAGTGGTGCTTCGTCAGCATCAAAACAATTACAACAGCAGCGTCCTACAACGAATGGGCACTTTGCCAACAGTGGTGGTGGTAATCCGGCGGGAACTGGGCATAGTGCCAACAAATCTTCCGGATTGGCAAGACCAAAAAGTTCCGGATTAAAAGCACCCGCCAAACTCGCGCAAACGTCCTCATCGAATAAGGTAATAATGATAATAAATAGTAATAAATAATAATGTTAAATATATGTACTTAATAATAAGTAATCGCTGCAAGACACATTAATCCGAATTCCGCAGCTTCAAATCACTATCCGTCTTACTTTTACGCAAGTTTATCTAATCTAATAAAAGGGTAATGACGCAAAAAAGAATTTTCTGTTATCTCTCCTTGTAATCAAGTGAAAGGCTTCGTCCAAATTCCCTTTGGGACCCAAAATGAAATTAGATAGAATAGAATCACATGGATGCATGGGTAGATAGCTGCGATGGGTTAGAAAATGAACGCATGATGCAGCGCAATATCTTCACTGCGCATTGCATATTGCAGCACAATATCTGTCTGTTTTGCTGTTCGCTTTTAATTAAATTTCATTGATTGATTATATAATATATATGTAAGTATATGGTGGATAATGAATGAAATGAAAGCGTTTTACGGTCCAGGAACCAGGCCAAAGGGTAAAAAGCTGTAATTTTAACTATAAAGTAATAAGAAGTAATATAAAGTAAGAGTAATCTTACTATTATTCTTGTTACTATTATTATTACTGTTATTCTAATGAATAATAATTATCATAATAATGAATATAATCATCGATGTGTTAACGGGTAACTTTATAATTAAGTTATTTTTGCCTACTTTTTCAAATACTGGATATTTTTAATAGTAATAATGTGTGTATATTTATGTGTAAGTCTAAAATAATGGATGTGGGGAATTGAGTTTAGAATAATATTTAAATATATTGATTGCTGAAGTAAGTAAGTGATGTAAGTAAGTAAGTGATAGCCCTTTGGGAGTAGTCTTGGGGAGATTGTTGAAGTGATAATCTGGTGGTTGGTTGTGTGGTTGGGGATTGGGATGTGGGGATATGGATGGATATATGAGGATGGGTGATATATATTAGAGTTAGAGAAGTTAGAAGGGATGAAACTTTTTTTAAAATTTGAAGGACAACATTTGCCATAGCTGTTGAGTATGCTTTAGTTGGATTGCCATAATGCTTGTCGTAATGTTCTTGCCATAATGTTTTGTCATAATTTGCCATAATGTTTTGCCATAATTTGTCATAATGTCTTGAGTTTTCACTTGAGTATGGTTTCAGTTGGAGTTGAGGTTTCTATTTGTTTGTTTGGATTCTATTTGTTTATATTGAATAGAATCGAGTTGAATTTCCAGTTAGGACTCAAGAAGAGTGCTGCAACAGCAGCATCCAGTTGCGATGTAACAGG